TAAGTTTTGAGAAAAATTCAAGAATTTACTAAAAAAGCCAAAGCTGCTGTTTATTTTAACCAGTATGAATATGTTTATGTCTCAATCAATTCCATGGGTGCCTCCCCCCCCCCGGGCGTTTGTCGGGCATTTGTCATTTTGGGGAAAAACGTTGCAAATGCCCCACTATGGGGTCCAAATAATGCAACAAAATCCCCACCCTTGGGGACTTACATTGAAGCAAATGCCCCACCCTTGGGGGACAAAATATAAGTTTTCTGAGGATTTCTGATCCAAAAAATCGAATGCAAGCTCTATCACGTATCAATATATCTGTATTTAAAATTGATTCTGTAGCCATTTCGTTTCAAAACGAGTTAATTAAAATATTGAAGTCTCAAAACTTGATATAACAATATCAAACTGCGGAAGTAAGTCAATGTATCAACAGGATGGACAAGAAAAAAGTCTTAGTGTGTATGTCCGCCATGATTAATTCGCAATACGCACGCACGTGTAAACATGCGTACTAAAGTACGGCTAAATGGCAAAACAAGCGATAAATATTCGACTTTTTAGCCTCGAGCAAATTCCCCACCCCGGGGCTAACCTGCAGAAAGCAAATGCCCGATCCTGGGAACAAGCAGGTAGCCGCACCTACAGGTAGCGGTGCCTAAAATTGGCACGGAATGGGACACCGCAATTTTGCAACAGGGGACAATCAATTGACTCAGTCAATCATAACATACTACTTTCCAAATTAGAGCTTTACGGTATCAGAGGAACTAGTCTGAAATGGTTTAGATCTTATTTTAGTAACAGGAAACAAATTCGTAAGCAATCAGATGTAAAGTGTGGAGTTCCACAGGGATCCAACCTTGGGCCGTTTTTGTTTCTCTTATATATTAACGACTTGCCCAGATGTCTCCAAACTACTAAGGCTAGATTATATTGCAGACGATACAACTCTTTCCATCAGTACTCCAACCGTAGATGAAATTGAATCAAAACTTAACCATGATCTTTTGAATGTTAACGAATGGCTCATTGCAAATAAACTTACACTAAACGAAACGAAAACTGAATTTATGATAATAGGTTCACGCCAGCGAGTCCCGTCATTTGAGCTGGGCCCCATAATTAAACTTGGTAATCAAGTTATTAAGCGTGTACTCAATAAAAAGACGCTTGCCGGTGTAATTTTAAATGAACATCTAACTTAGAACAAGCATATCGACGAACAAAATAAAAAGATTTCAAACAATATTGCTTTACTAAGGAGAGCTAAATGTTTGTGCGTGAACATATCCTTAATAAAATGTATAATGCATTTGTAATTCCGAATTTCTATTACTGTTCCACTGTTTGGAACGATGGCTACAAAAGTAAACTTACAAAGCTATCTAAACTTCAAAAGAAAGCGGCACGTGTGATAACCGGCGCTTCATACGATGTACGGTCCAATGAAATATTTCGAAAACTTGATTGGATGCCAATCCATAAAAGCTTATCTATTCGAGGAAATATTGTTACTTTTAAAGCACCTCTCTAATTCTCCGAATTATCTCACAGAAATGTTTAATTTCTGTTCAAACGAAACGTACAACTTGAGAAGTAACTTTTGCCAAGATTAATCAGTAATATCAGTAGTTTTTACTATAATTAGAATAATTAGTTGTTTAATGTATTAGTATATATTATAGTGTGAAGCTGACCAGTATGTAGGCTTCACTATTTTGTATTATAGAATTAGGTTAATATATGTTGTATAGTGTGCACGGCCCATTGAAAATCAGCATAGCATGCTGAATGGCTACCGTGCTTAAAGAATTTTAATGATTAAGATTAAGGTCACAATTAACTCTTCAACTGGCCATATGATTAGTACCATCTAACAAGTATCACTATAGCCCATTAGCTTTTGACCGCTTGCGCCGAGAGACGGACTTGGACCAAGTCTACCCATTAGCCCTAGCGAGTTAATGCTCTTTCGAGCGTCTTGTTAGACTAATTAATATGTAATTTTAATTATTAATGTTTAAAAGCATTTCAATAATCAGGTACCGGTATTTGTAATTTAGATATTTAATCAGTCTATTTTTAAGAATTAGCTATCAAACATAAAAAAATGTGTGTGAAAATTTCTGAAAAAATGTAGATCCAAATGAATTTCTGGGAACTAGGTTCCAGGTTCTGATACGTTTACGATGAGTTTTTACATGATGATGTGGGACGAAAAACCCATGCTACACTCTACACTGCTGAAAAACAAGCAACAATGCATCGTCCCATATATCATATAATGTAAGAAGTCATTGTATTAGTGGATTAGATATCTCGCGTTGTATATGCATAATAATTCTGAATGTCTCGATCTGGCGATCCAACAGCAGGGAAGAGCCTGGAAACAAGGTTGATCCCGCAGTAGCTCATCGCGAGAGCGGTATAATACGTTAAACCATAGACATGTCTTCTGTGATTCGATTCCATTCGGAAAAACCGACGTTACAACTCTACACTGTTGGGGCTGGTTGTATAAAATGGTAGTTAAAGTTAACTAGAGTTAGTGCGAAAACTAACCAATCCAAATCGTGTTTAAAAGTCGCTATAAGAATTTCATACAACCGGTCTGAAACTGTTGACGTATCAACATTGTAGCATGTTTGTTGCAAACCTGTAATAAGTTGTCTTCAAGTTGAGAACAAGTATAGTCTGTGAACACAACATAACAAATAAACAACATTGTACTTATAAACAATTCTCCAGCAGCAGGCACGAAATAACACGTGCTTTTAACATGTGTAGTAAGAATACAACCTGATATCGGCGTGTTTGGAGCAAAGAATATGAATATCATCAAATCACAGCTCACTGGAGCACCTTATAGCAAGTCTTTTGGAGGTATCTAACAATTACAGTTGGCGGTTTTATGCGAGTAAATAATGGAATAATCCTTTTCAACTATAAACAAACCTTAATCATATCAGGATATTCATAACATGGCGTGCTGTAAATACCTCCTTGATGGCCTCTTGAGGAAGTCATGTTCTTGTAAGACCATGTAGGGTGGTTACTTTCCGCATTAAATCCCTCTTTCTTTACTTTCCAGTAACATACACTGAGATGTTGTGGCTGAGGTGGGGAGAATAACAGAAATATTACTTGACGGAACCTAATGTTGAGTTTGCATTCTTAAACACATACTAACATGTACACTAAATTAATCATAATAAATTGTAGACTTTATAAAAATCATTAATAGACAGGTTCAGATTTAACTGCCATTACCATGTGGCCTCTCTCCTCCGCAGAGCCTCCTTAAGTATTTATAAATAACTTACATGAAGTTTCCTTAATAAAAGCATGGATAATAAAATAAATGGATAGGAAACTAGCTGACGTGACCTAATGTTTTCAATGGGCTGATGGCGTGATTGGATGTTGAAACCTAGTTGCAAACCAAATTCTCAAAAACGGCATGTTTAGCAATAATACAGCTAAACATTTTAGTCAAAGAGCAAATGAATATAACTACGCCATTCTACGATGAAATCTCTAAGTATTCCCAGTCAATTTTAGCAAATATTTCAAGCACTAAACAGTGAAAAAGGCATCCCAAATTTCGTTAAAATTGGGGACGCCAATTTCGTAGCTACAAATGTAAAAAAATACAAAACAAAGACGAAAAACATTTACCTTGAATACTTTGTCGTGGCTTAGGCATGTTTTTTAAACAATTAGACCAGTATATGCTTCAACATTACTCTTTTAAAGCAGAAAGTCTAGCGAAACAACAAAAATGCCGAGAACTTTGCAATACGCGTGACGTCACAGATTGCAACTGGGTTGTTTTTGCTAGCTAGAGTCCTATCCATTTATTTTATTATCCATGATTAAAGTGAGCGCACGCGAAGTGACGTGAAGATTTGCTCTTCCCATCACTACTTGCGCGCTCACTTTTCCCTCACTAGAAACTTCATGTAAGCCTCTGCGGAGGAGAGAGGCATGTGGTGAAAACCGAATTGGGTTACCTCGAAATTATGCTCGCGGTAACCTAGGTTTTCCAAGACAAACGCTTGTCATGAAAATCAGTGTGTCATTGATGATGTACCAACCAGACGTCAAATATACCAACTGGGTCACAAGATATTCCCAAACCAGAATATGTTCCAACAAATACTTTTCCGTCAAATTTGTTATCATGGCCAGGACAAGAATACTAAAGCGACTGGACTGATATCAAGGAGAAAAGTTTTGATGCACTTGCTTATTAACCACAGAGCAGGCGTATAGTACGTTTTTCGTAGCTCTTTCTTTGTCTGAGCAGATTCAGCTCCGCGCGCATGCAAAATTCCTTCTAGTGGTGGAAAACCAAATGAATTACGCAAGTTCAGACCCAGATGTAACGATATATATATATACCATTACGCTCTGCGCATGTCTGGATGCGTTGAGCGCCGTGTTGTACCACATGCCTTGGTGAGAGCAAGTTTATGGGGTATAAATACGAGTGCCTCACGTATCTAGACGTGTACCAAGCTGCACTGACGAGGCGTTGAACGCCGAAACATGCATGTCTGCAGATTGTACTATATATATATATATATATATATATATATATATATATATATATATATATATATATATATATATATATATATATATATATATATATATATATATGAATGCTGTGGTTTCCCACGTTGACGATTCCACTCGTGTTACGTTATGTAGCGTTTATGAGTTGTTTTCAGACGAGTGTATACCAAACCGGGCAAGCAGAAAATTCTACTTGACCGCGGCTGGGATTCGAACCCGCGACCTTCGCATTTCTAGAACGATGCTCTACCTTCTGAGCTACAAGGTCAAGCTGAGAACGATATATATATATATATACATACATACATACATACATACATACATACATATATATATATATATATATATATATATATACATACATACATACATACATATATATATATATATATATATATATATATATATATATATATATATATATATATATATATATATATATATATTATACACTATATATATATTATACACTATATATATATATATACTATATATATATATATATATATATATATATATATATATATATATATATATATATATATATATATATATATATATATATACATACAGGGTGTATAAAAAAAACTGAACAGATTTGAAATTGCTCTCAATTTCGCAAAACACCTATATATACAGGGTGTATCAAAATAAACGCAATTCATCTTTTGTGCTTAATAACTTTCGAAATACTATTTCTAGTTAAACGCTTTTAGGCTTACTTCAAAGCCTGTTCTTTTCTCTTTCAAACAAGTAATAATTGCACATGAAAAGATTTAGTAAAACCTATCATTTTTAGTTGCTGTTTAATTATGCAAGTTTAGTATGTTATTGTTTAGTCGGTTTAAATGTTAGAATTTTCTTCTTTAAACTTTAATGTTGTCGTCACTACATCTGGAAAATCATGCACGTAAGAACAAATCAAAGGATTTTAAAAGAGACCAGGTTGTTTGAAAATCCTAAACGAATGCTAAAAATCGTCAAAACATTCTGGTGTCTGAGCCAGAGTGTCATCGAATTGCGATATAATGTAAACAGAAATTATAGCTAGTTGATGTCAGTCAGCTTAGATGGTCCAAGCCAAAATTATATCGCATTTGAAGTTTCAAACTGAGTTAAAAATAGTGGAAGAAAATCCTTAATTATACTTATTGTTACAATCCATTTAATAAAATGCAACATTCTTTTGTTTTAATGAAAAAATCAGTTATTTTCATGAGAACGATTTGTTATTCCATCTCAATTTTTTTAATCTCCAATCACAATAACGTAAAGTATTATTATCCGCGAACCAATGAGTCAAATTTAAGAAACAACCCACTGTTAGAAAGCTGAATGGCTACGCTTTAAAATGAATGTAAACTTTAACGTTTTCGTCTATTATTTGTTTAGCAATTTACATTTCAGTCGAGGATTGCGCTTTTTTGATACACCCTGTATATATATATATATATATATATATATATATATATATATATATATATATATATATATATATATATACATACATATATATACATACATACATATATATATATATATATATATATATATATATATATATATATATATATATATATATATATATATATATATATATATATATATATATATATATATATATATATATATATATATATATAGCTTCGTTGGGTATTTATAATGTAGAATAATGACAAAAGTTTCTCGAACTCAAATTTTGTGAACCAGGGGGGTGTGTCTTTTCCAACAAACTAAAAATAGCTCGCGCACAAAATTTAAAAGTTGTAATCATATTTTGAGTTAATAGATGAAAAATTTGTCGGGTTTTTAATTACTGTACAAAATTTCAGACAATTGGGTTTAGTTTAAGCTCCTTAACTATTCACGCAAAGTTACATTTCTCCTAAAAATCAGCTATTTGCATGCTTAATTAATGCATTTGCCTAATTTGCATATGTCAGCAATATGCAAATTAGGTAAAGGCATTATTTAAGCATGCGAAAGGCTGATTTTTTAGAACAAAATGAATGGTTAAAGGGCTTAAGCTTAACCAAATTGTCTGAAATTTTGTACAGTAATTAAAAACCCGACAAAGTTTCTATCTATTAACTCAAAATATGATTACAGCTTTTAAATTTTGTGCGCGAGCCATTTTTAGTTTGTTAGAAAAGACACACCCCCCCCTGGTTCACAAAATTTGAGTTCGTGAAATTTTTTTCATTATTCTACATTATAAGTACCCAAAGAAGCTATATATATATATATATATATATATATATATATATATATATATATATATATATATATATATATATATATATATATATATATATATATATATATATATATATATATATATATATATATATATATATATATATATATATATATATAGAGAGAGAGAGAGAGAGGA